TTCAGAGAGTCATTGAGGATCTCTGATTTAGAGATGTTAACCCGGAAATTGCTCAAAGCACCGAACCTCTCCAATTCCTGCAGAATAGTAGGCATAGCGACATGAGGCTGACATAGAGTAGCAAGTCATCCGCGAACAAAGCGAGTTTAGATCTATGAGGACCAACGAGTAAGCCCTGGAACGCAGAGTTCTGACGCAGAGCTACCGCCAAGTGTTCCATTGTAAGTACATAAAGGAGGGGGGACAATGGGCATCCCTGACGGGTACCGTTAGAGATTTGAAAACTAGGGGAAAGCGAGCCATTGACACGGATCCGGGCCGATGGGTGTGAGTAGAGGGCCATGATACTGCTGAGCATGCGGGATCGCAGGCCCAGCTGTATGAGAGTGTGCCTGAGGAAAGTCCAGTCTAAACGATCGAATGCTTTATCAGCGTCAACGGATAGGAGACATAAAAGGAGTGTGGGATGTTTGTGCATAGTGCATCAGCAGCAAGGTCCTGATAGTGTTATCTCGGGCCTCTCGGCCCTGGACAAACCCCACTTAGTCTGGATGAATTACCCCCGGAAGAAGAGGTGCCAGCCGGTTAGCGATCAATTTGGCAAACAGTTTCACATCGGTGTTAATCAGGGAGATCGGCCTATAATTCGTGCACAAAGAGTGATCTTTGTCCGGCTTTGGGATTAGGGAAATGTGAGCTTCCAAGGCTTGCCTCGGGAACGGCGTACCCTGGGATACTGAGTGAAAGACCCGCAGCATGAAGGGGACAAGTGAGTCTTTCAACTGTTTGTAGAACAGTGGAGCTGTCAGGGCCAGGGTTTTGCAGCGGTGCGGACTTGAGGGCTAAAAGTAATTCTTCCGAGGTAAAAGGAGACTCTAGAGCCGGGGTCTTTCATCACAGGAAGGGCTGTGTCATGTACGTAAGTCTCTACCCGTAGGTCATGGCTGGGGGACGGACCGTCTTGTTCCAAAAGATTATAAAGGGAGTTGTAAAATTCCGTAAACACCCCACGAATGTCCAAGGGAGAGTTTAGAAGAACCCCAGTCTGTGACCGGATATGCGGGATATAGGTATGGAGCGTCCTCGGGTGCAACATCCTAGCTAATGCCTTCCCACATTTATTGCGGGTCTCGTATGCCCTGGTCGCTAGTTTAGCCTGATAGGATCGTGCCGACTGATCCAGAAGACCCAGCAACTTTAGTCGAGCTTGAGTGGTGTTCAGCAGGAGCTCTGGCAAGGGTGTGTGCTTATGCTGGGTCTACAAGTTGCTGAATGGCTTCCTTAATCTGCCCAGCCCTCTTCAACCTGGAGCCCTGTTGGATCAGTACGCCCCTTAGAACTGCTTTTAGTGCCTCCCACTGAAGGAGAGGGGTGGGGGTCAGAGGCGTGTATTTCTAGAAATTGGGTAATGCCCTCTTGCAATGCAGATGCACAGCTTGGATCGGAAAGCAAGGATTCATTTAGTCTCCAAGTCCATTCCTGGGCGGGGGCCTGGGGTACCTGCAGGTATAGAGTAACAGCGGCATGGTCAGACCATATCATGGGGCCAATGTCACAGGAGGGGTTCCAATCCAGTATGGGGTGGAGGTAAAGAAGTAGTCTATTCTACTGTAGGAGTGGTGCGGTGCGGAAAAATGGGTGTAGTTCCGCGCTTGGTGGTGAAGAATTCTCCAAACATCAACAAGACGAAGATGGGAGATCTGCTTCTTAATGCCACGCAGCCGTGAAAAGGAGAGGGCGGAGCGACCCGTGGATGAGTCCAGGTTGGGCTCCAAGGCAAGGTTGAAATCCCCACCCAATATCACTATGCCCTCTGCAAAGTTTTCCAGCTCCTGCAAAAGCCGGCGTGCGGAAGCAGCCTGGCCCGTGTTAGGGAGATAGAAGTTTTCAATGGTGTAGGTACGACCCCAGAGCGACAGTTTAAGCAACTGAAAACGACCAAACTTATCTGCCCCGTGGTCCATGACCACTGCTGGTAGGGATTTGTGGAGTGCGATGGAGACCCCCCGCGACTTTTGAATTGCGTTGGTGGTATGGTAACAGGAGGTATAGTACCTATTGGCACATGAGGGAGCGTGGTTAGTCTGGAAATGTGTTTCCTGGAAAAGGACAATGTGCACTCGTGTCTTATGCATATGGTACAGGATCTGTCCCCTTTTGGAGGGAACATTAAGGCCCCTAGCATTATAGGTGCAGAGGCGGAGCTCCGCAGGGGTAACTACAGGTGGGGTCATGGCAGGGGTCGGAAAAGAGGAGAGAGTAAGAACGACTAGAGGAGGCTCAGAGACCGTAGAAAGGACAGAGGTCCCTGAGGGCAGACCCGAAAAGACAGGGGGATAGAAAGAAGGGAAGGGGAATAGAAGGTGGGGAAAGAGGGAGGGAGAGGACCGAGGGAAGAGGTAGAAAAGGTATTAAATGAGACAAAAAATAGGAAACCAAAAACAAAACCGCTACACAAATAACAGTCGTCTAGCAAATGCTAGATAACAACAGTCTCCAATGGGAGACGTATCACCTACGTGGGGGGAGAGGTGGTCAAAAATGAAGGAACGAGATGCCTACCGGGGCCCTAGTATAAAAATAACATGTTCAACAGCAACACAGTTCAATACCCAATAAGGTCAGGTATCTCTTTAGATCCAGCTTATGTGTAACTTCCGGCTATGAGGCAGGAGGCCATTCTCCATGTGCTGCTCGCAGCCAAGAAACCTCATCCTCCGTCGCGCAACCCGAGGGTACCCGGTAAACCCCAGGGCCAGCCAGAGTTCCCCCCAGCGACCACCAGCCCCATAGGGGCATAGAAGGGGCCAAGGGGAACCGGTCCACCCCATAGAACACCCCCGAGCAGCCGCTCCGCGGAAGGGCCTACGAGAAAAAAGTTCAAGTATAACAGTAAAATACAACAAAGGATCAAGGCAATGAATTAGGCAATCAGGCACAGTGCGTACAACCGAATAGTTTGTGGACTAGCGCTCAAGGAGCAGGGAGTCAGCCCTCATTCGTGGACGGGTTGGCCGGCAGCGGGAGATCCCGGCCCCTGCGAGACGAGTGTGAATGGGCCCTCCGATGGCGTTGAGGCAGAACCGCATTGGACCAGGGATCTTCTCCAGCAAAGGGAAGGTCCAGCCAGTCCGGGACCTGGATCGGATCCGTTTCCTGGAAGCCAAAGAGCTCGGGCAGCTGGTTTGGTGTGCGTAGATGGAAGGATTCGGAGCCCTTGCGTATCAGGATGCTGAAAGGGTGGCCCCAGCGATAAGTTGCTCCCATCTGGCGGATGACATTTAACAGAGGCCTCACCGACCTGTGCATAGCTAAGGTCAAACATGAAAGGTCAGGCAGAAGTTGTATGGAAGCGCCATCGAAGTCAATAGGACCTGTTCTCCATGCAGAGCGAATAATTTCTTCCTTGATGGCATAAAAGTGCACCCGGCATAATACGTCCCTGGCACGCTTGGTGGGTCCCTGGGCAGCACCGGACAATCGGTGGACTCTGTCCAGCTCTATGAGTTCAGCGGGGGGTTTCCCTAGGGCCATGTTAAGGATGGCAGTGACCGTGGCCTGTAGATTAGGACCCTGGGTTGCCTCTGGGATGCCCCGCAGGCGTATGTTGTTACAGCGGCTGCGGTTTTCCACCGTCTTCCACCCGGAGTTGTAATTGCTGTAGATGGGTACGGTGGGACCACTGGGCCGCCTCCAGTGCCTCTATACGGGTATCATGCAAAGTCACTGAGGTTGAAAGGGCAGATATGTTAGTGTCGGCTGCAGTGACCCTCTGGCGGAGTTCCCGTACCTCACCCCTCAGAGCCCCCTCCAAGTGCAAGGCCCACGTGTCAAAGTCAGCCCGGAAGGCTGCAAGCAAGTCACGTACCTCCCCTGACCCTGAAAGGTCCGGTGCAGAGTTGTCCTCTGGTGTTGGTGGATCCAGGGCCGCATGAGATGCTGGCTGAAGAATAGTGGGCACAGGTGAGGCCGGCGGATCCCGCACTTTCAGTCCTGCAGGCCGGGCAGTGGATCGGAGGTGCTGTGCAGGCGGTGGGTCCAGAGCCCCGGGAGATGCTGGCTGCAATACGGTAGGCACGGGGGAGGCCGGTGGGTCCAGTGTCCTCAGTCCCGCGGGCCGGGCCGTGGATCGGAGGTTCTGCACAGGCGCAGGCAAGGCCGGGGTCCAAGAGGTGGAGGGAGCCTCAGGTGGGGTCTGGGTGCCGGACATAGAGCGGGGTGAAAGAAAAGTGCTGGCAATCGAGCTGTATGGTGCCCCGGTTCAACAGAGCTCTCAGTAGCACGTCTTCATCCCTACATAGTCCGTGACCCCGTCTTTTATATTTTACCAAAAAATTGGGTAATAATAAATGTTTTATCATTTAATGTAGGGGAAAGTTTTATAAAAAAAAAAATTTTTTTAATTTTTCCTTAATATAGTAAAAAATAAACCCCCCAGTGGTGATTAAATACCACCAAACAAAGCTCTATCTGTCCCCAAAAAATGGTATAAATGTATTTCAGTACAGCGTTACATGACGGAATAAATGTCAGTCAAAGTACCACAGCGCTGAATACTGAAAAATGGCCGGGACAGGAAGGGGGTCTAACACCGTGGACCTCAAGTGGTTAAAGTAACACTAAAGACAACATTTTTAAATTACATTTTGGATAGAGTAAGGGAGGGGGAGGGTGTGGAAGGGTAAGAAGGGAGAGTTAGGGCACCTGTTATTTTTTTTTTTTTATATCTATCTCCAATTTGGGAGATTTACCTTCACTTCCTGTCCAATAGCCACAACAAGAAGTGGGAGTAAATCCCTAAAAAACGAGTGAAATCCCTGGGGGGGTCATCCGAATCACCAGAACTAGGTCCCCATTGGAGGATTTCCCATCTATTTCTGTTCTAATGACAACTCACAATTTGGGAATTTCTTTCACATTATGTAATAACGGGGTTTCCTGGACACATAGAGAGGGGCGACTTTCCCTAACAGGGACACAGACAGCAATAAGAACATAAAATGTCTTCTAATCCTTCTCCATTCATCCAAGAAAGGTTTCAGTTTCACTTGAAATCCCCAAAAACCAGCTCTATATTGTCTCCTCCATTATCACATTCTGTGTATTCTATTTCCTGGAGTTTTATAAAGTGATGGAACATAAATGATCCCAATAAAGAGAAATGAGTTACATTCATGTAGAGAATAGTTCCATTCATTCCTGGGGGAGACATTCATTGTCTTCTGGTAACATTCTTCTCTTCTTCTTCTACAGATTGTATAATAATCATCTGACAGACATTTCCTGCCCCGACCTGACATCTGGAATAAGAAATAACCGGACACTGAGGACACTGGACCTGTCACTGAACAATCTGGAGGGTCCTCATTTCCGGGATGTGATGGAAGCTCTGACAACAAGCCGGATAGAGGAATTACAGTGAGTATAACAGGACTGACTGAGACAATAATATTCTGGGACAGTGTTATATCCTATATATATATATATAAATAAATGATAAATATGATGATGTCATCACTTGGATAACTAGTAATATAGATGATATTAACGGAGGTCATACACGGGGGGATCTGATCTCACTGTAGGGAGCAATCAGAGTCTCACACACATTTCCCCCTCCCCCAGCACAATCCTCCCACCTCTGTCATCACACATTTCCTCCCTTCCCCCTCCCCCAGCACAATCCCCCACCTCTGTCATCACAGATCTCCTCCATCAGAAATCTCCCCTCCCAATACACACATCCCCCATGCAGACCGCTCAGACCTCAGATACTAAGCATTGCCCTGAGTGTAGTGTAGTGATTGAGTAGTATAAAAATCTTGGTGAATTATTAATAATAGGGCGGTGTCTGAATTATAATTAGATTTAATAGACAGTGCCTCCAGCCGATTACAGCAAATAATAAATAACTTAACAAACAGTATGAATTTAGTTCAGACAATTAATAATACACCCCAAACCAATTCTCTGAGTTCTTTGAGCTTATGGTGATTTCTTAGTGTTAGATAGAAAAAAACTGCGCTAGGAATGAAATAACACTCTAAGAGCAGCTGTGCTTAATAGGCGAGTACACCCAAAATAGGAAAAAAGAAAATAGCACTGCGCTTCAAACTCAAAAATTATATTCCTAAAATGTGAAAAAAAAAATATAAAATGTGAAATTGTCACAAAGTGATACACAATTTTGTGTCATACACAACACCTGTGTTGCACAATGCCTGTGCTGATGATAGAAAAGCTGGCCACACACCTTAAAATTATCTGCAGATTTTCTGTGGTCAGATGGAAAAGGTGCAACAGATTCATCCAGCTACACTTAACTGTGTGGATGGAGTAATCTCCACCTGGGTCAATCCGTTGCACTTTTTCCATCTGACCACAGAAAATCTGCAGATAAATTGTAAGGTGTATGGGCACCTTAAGAAAAACTCTAGGTCTAATGGTCTATGTGACGGACCCCCGTACTCAGGATGAGTCTGTCCGCCGCTGTCTTCTTCCTTGCTGAGAAGATATTGCAACCTGAAGATCTTTAGCTCCCAGTTTCCCCAGTCACTGGTCGGGACTCAGTGTAGGGTAAACAAACTCTCCTTTATTGAACAACTGCTCAAACTTATATACAGCAAGTGATGAGATCAGATTATAATCGCATCACATCCACCCTCCCCTCACAGACAATCGGTCTGCTCAACACCACAGGTGTCCACCTGCTAACGAGCTCCAGACAGCCATAGCAAGAGCCTGGCCAGAATGTCATTGTTCTGAGCTCCCTCAGAGAACAATGGGAGATAACTAGGGATGGGGCTGATAGTCTTTCCCTAACGTACTCAAAACATAACTCATCACCAATACACATAAACTGATCGCCATGTCGTCACAGTCTAGACCAGGGGTCAGCAACCTGCGGCTCCGGAGCCGCATGTGGCTCTTTCATCCCTCTGATGCGGCTCCCTGTCCAGGGACGGAACTACTGCCGGGGCCTCGGGGCCTGAGGCTTTGGGGGGTCCAGTGAGGTCCGGTCCTGGGCCACCTTCTAGTGGAATATGCGGCAGTGCAGGGTCCCGGGGGGCCCCGCACTGCTGACGGGCTTCTTAGCAAGGGGGCGGGTCCTGTGACTCACCTCCTCTCCCGGCTGCATCCCTAGTAACAGGCGGCAGGAGAGGAGAAGTGTAGGTATGGCCAGTACCCATGTGAGGGGTCTGGGCATCCTGGGGGGCCTCTTACATGAGTATCAGCTGTACCAGGGGCGGCATGGCAGAGGTGACAGGGTAGGGGGTGGAGGAGGCCAGGCCCCAGCAGCACTAGGTAAGAGGAGTTGGGAGGAGGTACAGGCAAAGGGACCCAGGGACCAGCCAACCTGAGGCCCTGCAGAGCCCACCATAGAGAGTCTCAGATGGGTTGTGCAGGATCTATGGTGTGCTCTGCAGGGTCACACTCAGGTGGGGTCTCAGGTAAGCCCTGAGTCCAGGGCGTTACTAAGCACACATATACCTATATACATAGCATAAAGGTAAAAAACGACATATGCCGTGTTATCTTTATTTTGAATGTCTAAAGGGTTTTGTGGCTCCCGGTGTTTTCTTTTCTGTGGGAAACGGGCCCAAATGGCTCTTTGAGTGTTTAAGGTTGCTGACCCCTGGTCTAGACACTATAAACCATAATAAACATGGGAGAAAGAAAGAAAAAAACGTGCTAGTACATCTCATCAAATGTGTACATATAGAAAAACCTATGTTAAATCTCACAAGTGATGTATAACTCCCACTTCATCTACATAACCACATGTGACGTCCATTACTTCTGGATACAATAAAGTCCTTGAAATATGTGAGGATATATCTTCCTGCTTTTATAATCCACACCACGTCCGTGAATGCAAAAACAATGAGTGAATCAGTGCTCTCCAGTCTCCACCGCGCTCAAAGATAAGATCTGGCCGCACTCACCGACTCCTATTGCTCACCATATTTCAGATGAACAATTAGCGCTTTGTTGATATGTAGAACCAAATTAGGGTTGCCACCTTTTCTTCAAGCGAAACCCGAACACTCTAGCGTCGCGCGGACATTTTTTGGGGAGAATAACTTACAGCTTATTCATATGTAAATAGTGCCACCCAATCGTATGTAAATATAACAGTTGAGACTATTTTCAGTGCGGGGCCAGTAGCCCCTATCCTAATTTTGGTTGCCCCTGTCTGCCTGACATCTTGTGTCCGGGTTTCTGCTGCCATGAAACCCGAACACAGCATTCAAAACCCGGACTGTCCGGGTGAATCCCGGACAGGTGGCAACCCTAAACCAAATCCTCTCCTTTGTTTTTAATCCGACAATAAATTGGGGTAGATCCCTCCCAACTCTGGCTTATCTTTCCAAAATCATGTAACACTATTCCTCCATCGTCCACCTTCTCATGTGCTCAGAGAGAGAGAAAAAGGCTCCCCATAGTGTAGTATGTCAGAATAAATTTATTTAAACCGATTAAAATGCACTTACAATTAAAATAAGGCAATTGCACATGGATTGTGTCCACTGGAGCTCCTGTCTCTATGATTGTAATGCTCGCATAGATCCGCCCACCTGATGCATCTCCTCACTATTGACTTCCTCTGAGGCGACGGTCTGCATACCAAAAACTCCAAAGCGACGGGCAACGCAGTGTGTAAACCACCAAGCCCACCCCGGGGGACACCACCCCACCCAGCGACGGGGACCCGACCACCACACCCCCCCCTCCCTGAGTCCCGTCGGCGACGGGGATTCCTCCCAGCCCTCACACCTGACCCAGAGACCACGGGCAGTGTGCGAGGGGCCGGAGGGTCCCTGGAGGGGCTCCCACGAGGATGCAGGCCCAACCTCTCCCTGAGTCCTGTCAGCGACAGGGATTCCTCCCAGCCCTCACTCCAGACCCAGAGACCACGGGCAGTGTGTGAGGGGCTGGAGGGTTCCTGGAGGGGCTCCCCACGAGGATGCCGGACTTAGGGGTGAGAGAGGGGATCAGGCGCTCAGGAGGCCTAGACCCCTGGCACGTTCTTGGGACAGGGGGTGGATGGGGCCCCCCTGGACCCCCCCAAATACCTCCTTCAATTGCACCCGGAGCCATTGCGGTCCCCTCTGCTCTGCAGCCGCCCAGACCTGGGCCAATAAAGCCTTCAGGCCACTCATGGCCACAATATGTATTTTCTGGTCCGCAGGGTGAAGAGCACACAACCTGCTTCCTTCATTGATTTCCAGAAAGAGGACGTCCCTCAGCCCTTGCAGATCCTTCCCATGCGGCTCCTCCCGGACACCTGACTCCCACGTCCAATCAGGTAAGAGCAGCTGTTCCCATTTTATTTATTTTTTTGTTTCAAATAGGTTTTTATTAGAATTTTACAGGAATACAGTCAGGATATACAAGGATGCATTCGACCCACATGCGGGTTGTTTGATGAGTCATTTATACATAGCGTCGGAATCTTGTATAATAACAAACATGGGACTGGAGGGGTAGTAGAAGGTAGGGGGGAGGGGAGGGAGGGTTAGGGTGTAGGTACCATCATTGTTCTCGTGACACCTAACTGTTCCATTGATCCCATTGGAGTGTCAGTAGGTTTTCTCGGCCTATCTCCTCGCGACAGCGATAGAACCCTATTTCGTTATTTATGCAAGTATGATAATTGGGTAGTGCAGTAGTTTAGGTTGTGTCAAGTGTGACGGACTGAACCGTCACTGGTGCTGTTGGAGTTGCCTGAGGGCTAGCCTCCTTCCAACTGACTATGGACCCAGAACTATAGAGACCCCCCTCGGACCTCTTGGGGTTACAATTAACCATTGTACCAGGTTTATGTGTGGAGGGATGTACTGTACATTTTCCCCGGCATTACATTTGGATGACCCTGTGTATATTATAGGTACAGGCTGTGACTCCAGCAGCACTGAAGGAGGATAATTCTGGACATTGAACTGTTACAGTTAATTGGCCCTTTTGTTGTATTGTGTTGATGATGGGATTTGGATAGCTGATTCTAGGAGTAGCTGACTCCGGGTGTAGATGAGTAAATCACACTATGATACACTCAGGAGATAATCCCATCACCCCTTTCTCCTCTCTCCCTATTCATTCATTAAGGCATCGGGGAGGGGATGTCTGATTGCGTTATGTGTTTAGACCCCCAGAGCTGTATATATACTGAGCTGGTCTTCAATAAAGCAGATCTTGTTTTCCACCTCAACATTGGTGATGTCTAATGATTCAGTGGTTGGCGTTCTGTCCTAAGATATTGGTTCTGTCCAATAATTAGGCAGGTTTGGGCTGAGGACACTGGAATTCGGGTTCCAGCGGAGAGAAGAAGCTGTTTTCTGACGGAGGTACCCAGTCGGGGTACCAGGAGGTCCGTCACAATTGGTGGCAAGCGGTGGGATTTGCTTCCTCCCTAC